GCAAGGGATAAGACCTGCCGGCAGTGGAACTTCAAGGCAGAAATTTGGGACCACGAGCTTGTAGAGCACATCTGGATTGGCAGATGCCCTTCCCTTGCGTCCACTTTTTCTGTCTGCCTGCGCGTTCGAGGCCTGACTGCAAGGCCAAGGCACTTTGTCCGGGTGGATGTGACTCATGGGAAGCTTTCTTAACGTGTGTGTGTGTGTGGTGTGTGTGTGTGTGTTGGTGTGTGTGTGTGTGTTGGTGTGTGTGTGCGTGTTGGTGTGTTGGTGTGTTGGTGTGTGTGTGTGTGTGTTGGTGTGTGTGTGTGTGTGTGTTCGACTTTGACTCTGAGACAACCCTCGCACATCGAGCCTTCTCCTTCAGAGCCAATACTTCCTGAGGCACACGCTGCAGCTTTCAAGGCTGCTCTTGGCTGAGGCTGAAGATACGCCTTCAAAGACGTCCCCGGCCTGCTCCAGGCCAGGCGCCACAGCTGCGGAGCTCTCCGCAGCCTCAAAGGCTGACGTGCCGAGATGTCTACGACAATCTCCGGGCTCGATGCGGTGAGTGAAACATGGGTGGGACTGTTTCTGCGGTCCCAGATTCGCCAGTGTTTGGCATGTGGCCGCTCTTTCGCTCGTAAATCCTGCAGTCGGCAATGCTGTGCACTCCCCCGCAGACGCAGATCCGCTCTCCTCCTGAGTCCGTGCAGCTTCACAAGGGCACGGCCGAACTCTTCGAAAGACACAGCACCTCAAGACAAATCAAAGCTGAAACCTACACAGCTTGACTTTGCCCTTGGTGACTCTCACAGGTACCCTATTCCAAGGGAGCTTCGGCCAAGGCACTGGACATTTCAAGGCCGAGAACTTCAAAGTCTGCCTTCACCCAGATCTATCTCTTCACAGCTGCATGGGTGGGTTCAACAGTCTGCAGTATCAGAAGCCATCAGACTACGGCACACTTCTTGAAAATGACGGCCAAATGACCCATCCCGGCCTGTAAATCCTCCACCCTCATCTGATCCAGCTCCTCCAGGCACAAAGGCCTCTCTGGCCAAGCTTACTCGTAATGCACTCTCCAGATTCCCACAGTAAGAAAGCACCGGGAGCTGGCAAACAATTCCAGCAAGAATCACCGTTCCAAACGTCTCGCCGAGGATATGTTCTCATCCGGTACTTGTAGATGGTACTTTCCGGCTTTCCCCTATCGCCCTATCTTCAATTCTGAAGTACAAAGGGCTTTTACTTTGCAACACTGGAGGAGTTGGTGTGAAACGATGAAGATGCTTCCTGGCGACGCATAGGCGACCCCCTGCCTGATCAAGGCTGCTGTAAACCTTGAAACCACTACGAGGAGTGATACAGTTCGGAATTTACGGTTTGGAAGTGTTCTCCATTTCTCGCCACACCATGAGAGATCATGAGAGTTTGAGATTCGTCACGGTGTGGGGTACAGCAGGTTCAGGCCGTCGGCCTACTTTGAGCTAGCGAGAGCACAAAGCAGTTCAGGGCGTCCTCCTTTGGGAGGCCTGTCCGCTCCTGGACCTGTGCAAACAGAGGAACGAGGAGGGACTTCGGGCGGCTGGGTAGACATGGACTGCAGAAGCATGCAGCAGCCATCACACGTCGCGCCTTCAGCACCAACTGCTCGGTTTGTCTGAATGCCTTCAGCAGTTCCTTGGCTTCTCGCTACTTTCGCAGTTGAACAAAGCAGCGGGACCCCTGAGCCTGAGTCGGCTGGCTCGAGGCCCTATGCCGCGCGGCACAGCTCTGACGGCGAAACCCGCATTGAGATAAGTGGCAGACACCGGAAGCGTGGCGACCTCGTGATAGGCTTGCACTGCGAAGGCCGGCTCAGCTTGCATCATGGGCATGGGCGAGCCTTCGCGCCAAGGTTTGGAGGATCCTTGCCAGCCGCACAAGCAACTTCTTGCAGGTCTCAACTTGTAGATGGTGCCACACTAACACAATGCACAGGTGTCCATGCACCAGTCACAACATGCGCTCTGAAAAGTTTTTGCGCTAAGCGCATGCCGACGGACATGAACCCATAGCCTCTCCTGGAATGGTCGCAGACTCTGCAAAGGAAGCCACTCATCCTTTTCAACAATTTGTGACTGACAAGATGCGCCAGCAAGTCTTCGAGCAGCTGCAACACACCTTTCCTTACTACATTTACACCACGAGCTGCACCGAAACAGAGACCGAACCGTGTCGGGGCAGAAGGGAGCAAACAACAGCGACCGATGTGATGCTTGCAAGGCCTGACCTCATCGTCGTCAAAGCCCAGGAAGTGTACCTACCCACGGCCGATAGCATCTGGTGGTCGAAACGGTCAGGTCAAGATCCGTCTCAATGTGCGTCATCGTGAACGACAACCATACGCCAATTCATGACGCAAATTCATGTTCACAAAGACTCCAAAGTTCCCTTGCCTTCACGCGGGTCGTCTCTCTCGCAACCTCAAGGACCTGGCAGGTAGCATACGGCAACTCGCTGCATGCTCTTCTTTTGCGCTTCAGGGGCTCTCTTGCCCTTTTTTATCAGCACTTCTTATGAATTTCCTCGTCTCTCGGAGTGGCAGTGCCGGTCGTACCCCAACAAGGATGTTGCACTTGCCTTGGCCGGATACCAGACGCCGTCACCGTAGGACAGGGACTGTGCTTCCACCTTCGAGCAGGCGCTTCGATGCCGGCCCATGTGCCTCGAGGTTCGACTGCAGGCTCGGATTTTGCAGCTACGTGGCCTTGGAGCCAAGCCTCTGCAACTCCTTCCAGCCGCAAAGCTTCAGAACAGCAACTGAGTCCAAACATGTGTCTCTCGCAGGCTCTGTGGGCTGCACTCCTGGCCTGAATGAACCCTGTAGCCTCAAGAAGCCGGCATCCCGCTCCCTGACATCTTCATCCCTTCTGGCGATTGCTCCTCCACCCGTTCCACGGTGAGTCCGGCGGCGGACGCTGCGGCCGAGGCCTGCCGGACTGTGCCAGTTCTCCCCGCATGGTCCGAAAGTATCGAGAAACCTAAGAGCAAAGCCTTGCTGGGTCCATCGCTCATTGACACGCACAGCCAACAGAGCCCGTACTGGCGGAAGTGGGCAAAAGGCTCAGTGGTTTGAGGCTTCTGGTTGCTACTGTAGGGGCCGCTAACGGGCTCAGGGGCGACAGTGGTACGAGCCATGTTGTAGATGGCTCAAGGAATCCTTGCCGAACTGGCTCAAGGGTGCCACAGAAATCAATTGACACTTGCCTTGTCTTGCGAGACTTGAGCCGTGGCTCGCTCGGCTGGGTGGACAAGAAGTCAGCAGAGCTGCAACGGCTTGAGTTACGCAGGCAAGCGACAGTCTCGTATTCCTTTGTGAAGATTGTGAAGCGGATGTCGCATTAAATTCCTAATCTGAGAAAATCGATCTGCGCCTGTGCGCCTGTACCAGGGCCAGGAATGACTTCTCACCACAACCCAGTTTAGGCCCTGTAGCTATGTGTCCAAGGTCATATCTCGGCTAGATCAGATACCTTCTCTTCCACCATTGCTGAGAGCTAGACTCAGACATTTTTCAAAGTCATTCCCGCAAGGAAGCTAGCTGCAGCTTGACGATTTCGTACAGGAGCATGTACCTCGAGGCAGGATGCCGCAATGTGACACACAACACTGACAGAGTTCGGTAGCCCAGCAAGCGCACACGCCGTGGCTTGGAGCAAGGTGGAGGATGCGCCTCAAACAAAGAACGGCATTGCTTGGCCCTGGTGTCCATATCAGAGCCGGATCGACATCTTACAAGCCCTTTCCCACTTTCCACCTAGCAGGAGCTACAGCCGGCACGGCCTCCCCATTTTTGCCCAGACTGAAAAGGAAAGCCGATTTCGCCGAGGCGCCAGGTCGCCCCCTGCCAGAATGCAAGGAGGCCCTCAAGACCTCAGAGAGCCACGGACTCTCCGACAGCTGGATCCCCGGCTAGTGAAAGTCGGCTAGGATCTTGAGACTGTTGCTGCCACCGACAGGATTGGGCACCCCACTCAAGATACTCCGAGCCGTTTCGACGATGCCTGCAAGGGGAGCTTAAGCCGGAGGCACCCGATGCAATTGCCCATGCAGATGGCAGCGAGTTTAAACACACTCCAAAGAAACGTGAATCTACAGTCTACAGTCCAAGGCCCTCGTCGGAGTCTCGCCAGGTCTTCTGATCAGGACAATCCTCCGACTACTCTGCGTGCAGCCCATGCTGCCTGGAGGGCTTGTGCCTGCAGGCCTGCCAATGATTCCTTGGAATTTTCACTCACTACACTCCAATCTCATTCGCTTTCCATTTCCTCCCAACTGAGGCAGCCACGTGTCTTGATTACATCAAATGGGTTCGTCACCTCGTGAGTCGCGACAATGCTTATATAAATAGGAGCAGGCACTACAGTATGTCGACATGTTCGAAGCTTCCAACAACCCCCTGACACACGAGACACAATGCAGGACCAGAAAGACTCGAACGAAACAATGTAACAAGCTAGAGCTGAAGCAAACAATTGGGCGCACGCCAAAGCCGTCAAAGTACCAGTGAAGACGCCCAGCGAGAGATTCTCGTACACCTTGCGAGATGAGGCGGAGGACGTCAGCTCATGACAAGCACGACGAACAAATCTACGTCGTCCACCGCTTGAACGGTTAACTCTGAGAGATTCTGAGAGGGCTGCTGGCAAGTCCGAGGAACCGCGGACGGAATACAACTGCTGCCTGGTCGGAACAAGGATTGTCCGGCTCTGCGGAAGTCGGGAACATGCGAGGCTGCCACCCAGGAAACTCCACAGTTTTTGGATCCCCAGCAACGGTGACAGAAGAAGACCGAAAAGTGTGTCTTCTTCAGGCAACATCTGAGGGCCTGCTCGTCTCGAAAATGAGCCACCCACATGCGCTGTAGGAGCAATCATGCAGGACTGTTTGCGGCCTCGTTTCTACTGCGGCTGCGGACAGCTTCAGAAAGTGACTGTGATTTTGAGAATGTGCCAAACATCGTCTCTCATGCTTCCAAGCTGGGCAGCTGCACAAGAAGCTTCCGCGGTAAAGCTCCTTGAGGTTCGTTCCCAAATCCTGGAGACTTGCATTATCGAATCTGCAGTCCCATCTCCGGAATTCTCTCAACAAGAACAATGTATTGTCAGCTACGTAACCTTAGGGGAGACGGCAGTCTTGCAATCTGAGTCGTTTTCTGGCAGCGAAGCAGGGCGCCATTTCAGTTCAAGGACGACAGCAGTGCATGCGCAAACTTGCCTGCCCAACATCTCTGGCTACCCACTTGATTATCTTGATTGTTCTCGATCCATGCATTTCAAGTATCCCTTGCAGAACACTCTGATCCCTGCCTGGAAGGCATGGAAGCTGTTGCGGTAGGCACCAAGCTGCAGCCGGAGCTTCGCCACCTCGCAGGGACCACGTAAAGGCTACTGCACGAAATCAGTAGGTCAATGAAGCACCAGTAAACCCCCAATCCTGCACATGCCTGCCCTGAGCCCCTTCACCAAACCGACATGGCCGCCTTCACTGGGAGGCGAATGACGAACCCACTCTGCTGGGTTTGGGAACGAACTACTGGTCCAGACCGGGCTGAAACTGAAAGAACCGATACTGATGCAGGAGCTGCTTTGCGGCATGGCCACAAGCCACATCCTAGAATCAAGCTGTGCAGCAGAACTGAAAGAGCATGATACCAGTAGCAGCAGGGGCCGGGCTTTCGTTTCTCGCTTGCAGGTCAAGACTGCAAGCCTTCCCTGGCCTCTGTACACTCTGATCCCAGCCTCCATCGGGAGTCGAATGACGGAGCCGGCCACCTCAGAATTCGCTGTGATAGTAGAGCAAAGCGCTCTCAGCATGGCTCTGCAAACGCGCTTGGCGACCCAGCTTCGGCCACCACCGCTGCCGTCACGAAAGTCAAACCAGAGTCTCCGAAGGGAGCTGGGCCTGTCGGCAAGCCATCTGTGGAGCGCTCCAACGTGACTTCGATTTGCCTTTGGAGAGGGCATCTCGAGCACTGATGTAGGCGCTCATGTACACAGCCTCTTGGCACTGCAGCTCTGGTCAGAATCCAAATGCCCCTTGACGAAGCCTGGTAGGGGGAGTACAGTAGCAGTTTCGGAACCTCATGGCGAAAACTCTCGGCAGCAGCTCGCCGCTAGCACCAAGGCCCCGGCCACACCCCGATAGACCCCGGTGAGGGTGCGGAGGTGCCGAAACTCCGCCGTTTCTCCGAAGCGTCGGGCCTGCGATGCGAGCGCAGAAGCTCAAGAGCGGATCGTGTGGGTCGCAGGCCTGCTTCCTGCTTTTCCAAGTGTCCAGCGGATAAAGCGCAAGCTTTGTTGCCTGGGGAGAACTCGCGGGAAACACTTGTGAAGTGAAGTAGGGTTTTTGTTACTAGCAACCGCTATCCCCGTAATAAATACACTCGCCAGTGCCTTATCCGCCGACCCCTGCTGGGGCGGCGCCAGTGAAATCCCGAAGGGTTGGTTTTTGCTTGTCTTCCCGTCAAGAAGAAGTAACAGGCTTCAAAAGTTGGCGACACCGCCACCCCACCACCCACACCGTTT